GCCCTGGGTCACCGAGGAGACTGCTGCTTGGAATGCGGCCCCATATTCTCCACGTTCAGGGTGAGCTCTGGCAAAGTTTCCCTCCTTCCCTCCCGCCCTCTCACTTTGGAGAGAGGAGCCACCTGACTGACTAGCCAGCCTTCTTAACCTCCTAACCTGGAGGGCAGTCTGGGGTCTGGCCGGCCCAGTGGTCCGTTTCCCTCTCTGTATGAGAAAGAGGAATAGGGTCCTTCGACCGCCAAATTTGGCTCAGTGGATAGAGCATCCTCCTGCGGACTGAAGGGTTCCAGATTTGATTCCGGTCAAAGGCATGTACCTTGGTTGCGGGCACATACCCAGTAGGAGGTGTGCAGGAGGCAGCTGATCGATGTTTCTAACTCTCTATCCCTCTCCCTTCCTCTCTGTAAAAAATCAGTAAAATACATTTTTTAAAAAAGAGGAATAGGGCGAGGACAGGGCCGGAGGGGGCAACCCAGGGGACCCATGGCCAGTGGGGAAGGGCTTGTCTGGCTGAAAACCATGGTCGGTAATTCAAGCACTTGGCCATCATTCCTCCTTCCCTGGGCTTGGCTGGAGGCCTGCTTCTTGATCTTGTAAAGTTAGAATCTTGTAGTTGGTTCCCTGATGAAGGCTCCTGCGTAGGGTGTTTGAGAAAGTAGCGGAAGAGGTGGGCAGACATCTCCCTCCCTCCCGGGTACCAGCCACCTCCTCCCAGGCGCCCTAGCGGCTCAGGCGCAGGTTTGCCTGCTGCAGGGGACTGGGTCCTGCTGGGCTTTCCCCGCCAGGTCACCTCCCTCAGGAGGACCGGTTTCCTCAGAGGCCACCAGCCCACCGGGTCACAGGCTGCCTCGCTCCAGCAGCCGCCTGGGCCCCCAGCCCCCCTCAGGCCCTGCGGTGAGGGTGGTGGGTGACAGTGTTGAATCCCGTGGGCAAAAGGCTGGGCTGGGGACAGGGGACAGGGGAGCCCCGCCCCAGGCCGCTCGCCAGTCTCCCCGGCTCACTGGGTCCCCAGGCCTGAGTCCCCGCCACCCCCAGCTGTCGGGTCCCCGGTGAGGAAGAGGGTGGGGCCAGGAGGGGTTCGGGGCTGGCCCGGGACGGCGCTCCGCAGCTGTCGGAAAGGAGTTCCCTGGGCAGACGGCAT